TTTATCCAACTTCTTACTAACCTATAAAACAGAAAGTGTACTCTCTTGCTAACTTCTTGACTAATTGCCTATTCTCCGAATTAAATTTTACTGTATATAAAATAAATAACAATTCATTTTCGTGGCAATTTATTCAAAGTCAGACATTTTAATGATTGACCAATCAGATTTAAATCCCGTTATACTCGTTGCCTTACATTTGTTACATGACTTGAATAAACGATTCTTATTGGTCAGTATATTAAAAAATTTAAAATTTGTGATCACCATTTTACTGACACGGCCGGGATATGAGAACCGATTATATAACTTTGTATAGCCTTATTAAAATTGATATTATCAGATTTTTTTTTAATTTTTTTTGAATGAATGTTAGCGTTTTACTAAAGTTACTAATGATATTTTTATTAGTATACATTATTGAACGAAAGAATAGATACCTTTTTTTGGTAGTAACATATTAGTTGCAGGTGTTAAAGTATCATGATCTTGTGAATTATCATTATCGTTATTTGTAGAGGACCGACCATTTTTTCTTGCTATATCAATTATTAAAATCGATGTTATCAGATTTTTTTTTGAAGCTACTAATGATATTTTTATTAGTATATATTATTAAACGAAAAGATAAATGCCTTTTTTTGGTAGTGACGTCATATTAATCACAGATGTTAAAGTATCGTGATCTTGTGAATTATCGTTATTTGTAGAGGACCGAACGTTTTTTCTTGCTATTAATTATTAAAATCGATGTTATCAGATTTTTTTTGATTCTTTGCCCAATGAACGTTAGCGTTTTACTAAAGCTACTAATGATATTTTATTAGTATACATTATTGACCGGATAGATAAATACCTTTTTTTGGTAGTGACATCATATTAATCACAGGTGTTAAAGTATCGTAATCTTGTGTATTATTGTTATCGTTACTTGTAGGGGACTAAACACTTTTTCTCGCTATATTGTTAAAATTGATATTATCTTTACTGAGTATACATCTTCGAACTGAAGGATAAATACTTTTTTTGGGTAGTGAGATTGTATTAATCACAGGTGGATCTTGTGCATTTTGCATAGGAGACCAGGCATTTTTTCCTGCCAAATTAATTATTAAAATTGATATATTATACATATACTGAATATCTATGAATGGAAGGATAAACACCTTTTATTGGTAGTGATATTGCATTAATTGAAGTATCAGAATCTTGTGCATTATCGCTATCATTATTTGTAATATTTTGTATAGGGGACCGAATGCTTTTTCCTGATATATATTAATTATTAATTAAAATATTTAATAAAGCGCTACATGCGCACCTTATATAATAAGTAAATTCAAAAAAAATAACCAAAAAATTGAAATGTTTTCTTTACTTAGATATATCTTTGAATGAAAGGATTATACCTTTTTTATATAGTGACCTCGCATTAGTCGCAAGCGTTAAAATATTAGAATTATCGCTTACTGTGCTATCTTGATCAGTATTTTCAATGTTATGATCTTCTCTCGGTATATTATATTCAAGATTCGAAGTGACAGAATCTTTGGTTTGATTAGTCATTTCATGTGTGTCTTCTTGATTAGACATACTTTCTATATCGATATGATTTGTGTATTTTTGAACAAGACGTCGAGCATTCTTCTTTGGTAATGGTAATGCATGTTTTTTTGTTTTTGTACCAGCAATTTTCTTTTTTTTGGCTTGATTAATCTCTTTTTGTGCATTAGTCACAAGAGTAGAAGTGTCAGAATCTCTTGTATGGTCAGTCATCTCATCCACGCTATCTTGATTGAGAACACTTTCAATTTGAGTATGGCTTGTATTATGTTTTCGAACAGGAGGTCGAACATTCTTTTTTTCAGCAGTGGTAATGGATACCCTTTTGCTTTTGCATTAGCAATTTGCTTTTTTTTTTCTTGATTAACTATTATAGTTATAGAAAATTTAGATTATAAATAATAAGAAACTATAAGATGATACTTACCCATGCTATTACAATATGAAGCAAGCCAGTCATGAAGAATAAAATCTATTTCAGAAACTGGAAACGTTGGATTCACTTCATTAAACTAAAAAAAAAAAAAAAAAAAATAAGAATATATATCATAAATATAAAAACAATAGTCTTTATACTTCAAAAAATTTAGATTCTTACTTCTTTAATTACTTCTTTAGCTTTTTCCTTTGGTTGTCGGGATAGAGGCTCACCATGTAAAAATCAGGAAGCTGCACGATTTCATAGATCGTTCTGCAATATACCAATATGTATAATCATTAATATTAATTAAAAAAACTGCAAAATGTATAATAAACATACTATAAGGCATCCTCTTTAAGGAGGTGCAAAAAAAAAGCAAACTTACTCTAAAATTTAAGTACTGCTTTTTGTCTAAGTTTAAAAATTCATACCATTGTAATTCATTTTTATTTCTTTTTTGAGTATCTTTATAGTCTTCGTATTTTTTAATCTTTATTGGGTTCATTGTAGATCCTTTTGGGAACTGCAATATTATATGCATATTAGCCCAAACGATTTAAACCAAATATTTATAGAGCAAGAAGAAACTTACTTGTTCATTAATAATCCCACGAACAGCACTACATGAATCTAAAAGTGGTTGTACAAGAGCAGGATCGATAGCAACTAACACAGCATATAACTGACGACGTCGTTCAGAATTTAGCACGTTAGGCAAAGTTGGATCGGCATTGATTAGTGCGAGAAAAAGTTGACGACGTTGCTCAGAATTGAGCATATGGATATTAACCGAAAGATTATGGTTTTCTATTAGTTTTTTTTATTTTGAAAAGTTATACTTTTTAATTGATTTTTGTATTTTATTAAATGAATAAAAGAAATTTAAAAACAAATTATATTTATAGTAGACAACTTATGACGTATTTACTCTGAGTCTATTATTAATCATCAATGTATCAGTAGTATTAATCATCAAAGTATTAGTAGTATTAATCATCAAAGTATCAGTAGTATATAAATTACTTTTACAATCTTTAATAATGAAACAGTTTTTATCTTACAATGATCAACGATATTCTTTGCACATGTGTCTGGTGCTTGCAAGGGTCAAACGGTCAGGATAAATTAGTTAGCAGAGCAACCTGTGCAAGGCATTTAACGAAGCAAAAAAAATCTGGCCTAAATTAACAGATATGCCTATAATACAACGACTTCTAGCTACTCCTATTTCTACGCTTTTACCAGTTCAGACATATCTAGATAAAAACAACTGCGATAATAATGAACTCACTAATATTAGAGATGAAGAATCGTCTAATAAAAGTAATGAATCGTTAGAGGTTCAAGAAGGTGATATAATATCTGAAGAATCATCTAATGAAACTGATGATCTAGTTGAATCGTTGGATGTTCAAGACGGTAGCATAATGTCTGAAGAATCGTCTAATGAAACTGATGGTCTAGTTGAATCGTTGGATGTTCAAGATGGTAGCATAATGTCTGAAGAATCGTCTAATAAAACTGATGATTTAGTTGAATTATTGGCTGTTCAAGAAGGTAGTATGATGTCTGAAGAATCGTCTAATGAAATCGATGATCTAGTTGAATCGTTGGATATTCAAGAGGACAATACGATATTTGAAGAATCATCTAACAAAAGTGATGATTTAAGCAAATCATTGGAAGTTGAAGAAAATGAACATACCGAATTTGGTAAGCATGTAAAAATATTCTACGATTATCGTTATTGGAATTTATTATAACTAATAATGTTCTAATTTACTTTGTAGATATTTCAGAAAATTTAATTAAGGGGTTAAAACTTTTTAAAATTAAAGACAATCATAATATTTCTGAGGCTGCGTTTAATGATATTCTTAAAGTTATGAAAATTCCTGAAATTACTCTTTATCAACTTGGAAGATATCTTGAAAACCTTGTACCTTTAAAGCTGTCTCTTATAGACTGTTGTATTAATTCATGCATAGCATTTACAGGTGATTTTAGTAATAAAAATAACTGTCCAAGATATAAAAAACCTTGTTATAAATCTGACAAAGCATCCAAAATATCTCGAAAAAAAGCAGCATACTAATCACTTATTGATTCACTTAAATTGCAATATAAAGATAAATCACGTGCAGAAACTCTTCGTTACCGCTACAATTATACATCAACACATAGTTATACTTTGGGTAACAAAATTGGCAATATATTTGATGGTTTTTGATACAAGTCGTTGGTTTCTTCTGGATTTTTTTCAGATTGTAGAGATGTTGCTATAATGTTATCTACAGATGGTTATCAAATTTTTCGTCAAAAGCAGGATGATTGTTAGATCATACTTGTCATAAATGCAAACCTACTACCAGACATACGTGTTCATCGAGAAAATTTAATGATTTTTACTATTATTCTGGGGCCAAAGGCACCAAAAGACTTTAACTCTTTTTTACAACCGTTGGTTAATGAGTTAAAACAGTTACAAGGTATTATCAATATATATATATATGATATATAATATATTATACTTACTAATTTGTATTAATAAATATAGATGGTGTCCAGTGTATCGATGGCATAACAGAGAATATTTTTATTCTTTATGCACATGTTCTAAGCTTGTTTGGTGACCTTCTGGCACTTGCTAAGGTTATGTATACGACAGGACATAATTCATATAAGGCATGCCGGTTTTGTTCTATTCAGGGAATATATTGTCAAAGAAATCGACATGTATACTATCTACTTAAGCCTCCAACTGGTATGTCTGGATGTCGGTATGATCCTAAAGATCTTCTATTAAGAACACACAAAAATTATGTACACGATGCAATAGCTATAGAGCATATGAATGGGAAGCTATATAAAGATGAGGTACAAAAGCGAGGTATATTATTATTTTTCAATAAATAAAATAAAAATAATATTAATTTATTTTACTTAATAGGTCTAAATGGCCGAAGTATATTATTTGAACTCAATTCAATTGAGTTTCCTACATCGTTCCCCATTGACATTATGCACGAATTATTTGAAAATGTTGCACCAGTAATGCGATTGGTCTGGTACTTTTTTCAAAGATAGTCAAATTTCTAATACTGATTACATCCTTTCTAATAGTGATTGGACTAAAATAGGTAAAACTATAGAAAGTAATCGAAAAAATATGCCATTAAACTTTGGGCATCCACTTATTGATATTCAACGACATTCGGCTGCATTCAAGGCTGAAGACTAGTTAAACTGGGTGGTGCTATATTCGTTACCACTTTTACAAGACTATCTTCTGATAGGTAAATAATGTACAATAAGATATATATTAATTTTTGAGTCATTTTTAATATTTTTAGATTATTAAGGTATTTAAACGGATGGATTAAGTTTGTATATACGACGAAGCTTTGTCTCAAAAAAAGTATCAGCATAGAAGAATTGGCAGAAATTAGCAAACTCTTCCGTGAATTCGTGACTCACTATGAAAAGTATGTTTTTATGTTCTTTATTTATTACTATACATATTTTTTTATTTTTTATTTTATAGACCTCAGCACAATTACTGTGGAATGCTGTTAGTGTACAATTTATTCAATTTATTATGATTTTAAAATTAATATATAATATATTAATAGAGAATATCTCCAAAATAATTCAAAAAGAATTTCGGCTGCACTTATTTCCTTTCATTATTTGCTACATGTTGCCACTTCAATATATAATACTGGACCTGCGTGAGCAACTTGGCAGTATCCAATAAAGAGAATGTGCAGAATGTTATTACATTTGGTGCGCTCTAGACAGCATCCTTATACCAATCTTCGGAATCAAATTACTATATGGATTCGTTTTTCACATATTCAATATAAAGCTGAAATAAAGGAGAAGCTTTTTGATTCGAGCTTGGAAATTTCAAATTATTCTGAAAATCGTGTCTTTACTATCGATAATGCTCAAGAAAAGTTACATTCTCCATCATGCAAATATTGTATAAACAAATCTAAACTACAACGTCTCAAAGCTTATTATGTAATAGCGTTAGGAATACATATGAATCAGCTTTTAGTAAGATTTAATTTACTTCGATCTTTCTTTTTTTTTTTTAAAAAAAAAAATTTACTTCTCTACTAATATATTATTTAAAGCCCATTACAAGCTCTATCCAGAAATATGGAAAACTTCAAATAAAGAATGGTCTAATTATTAATTCAAAGCTTTCAAATCGAAAGGGAGATTTGGCATGCACCAATTATTGTATCGCTGTATATAGATTATAAACTGTAATTTTTTATTGCTGTAATGTTAAGAATACATTATTTTAATAATAACTTTTTTAGGCAAAGCTTATGGTTGACCTAAATGCTCATCATTGAAATGCGCCAGTTATTTTAGAAGAAAAGAAATTCTTTGGTGAAGTGCAATATTTTTTTTCACATCAATACAATGATCATTGGTCTATGCTAGCACATGTGCAATGGGTACGGAATCCTCAGCTTTCCGAATATGGATTATTAAAGTTTTGAGATTTTGGTGCCTTTGAAGTAATTAATATTAGTGCAATTTGTAGAAATGTTAGATTTTTTCGATTACTTAATAATGAGTCTTATATTATTGATCAAGAAAATAGGATTAAATTTCGATAGTTTATGAATAATTTTTTTTTTACTTGTAATATATTAAAATCTCTATTCGTAATTAAATTATATATTAGAACTTTTATAAAATTACAGTGAACGTCAGAGAAGCACATTTACAAATATGGACTTATAAAAAAGTCTAACTATAACGATAAGGTACAATGAAGAGTACTTTTAATACGTATTAAAAAACTCTAGTACTCTATTTAATTCTGTATTATTATTTCAGTATTCTATTTTAATTCTGTATCTTTACTTCAAGTATTCCATTTTAATTCCGTATCTTTACTTCAAGTATTCTATTTTAATTTCGTATTATTACAGTCACATCAGTATTCACTTTTAATTCTATATCATTAGTTTCCATGTCAATATAGAAATTACCAGTTTATGTATTACAGAAAAAACACTGATCGCTATTTATTTAACTATCACTTTTATGATATACACGGAACTTTCACAGAGTCAAGGTCAGAATTATGAAAATATAACAGAAATATTCTGGAATGCATTTTTTACAGGGCTTAAGAGCTTATCTGGCTAAACTTACAGCAGATAATTGGATCAAGGAGTGGATAATTATAAAACCACCAAAGAATGAAGAGAACCCAAAACTAATAATTGCATGAGTAATCTTAAAAACACAAAAAAAATTCTAGTAGAACATTAGATGCAAAGAGTGCAAATCAAATCAACAAGAAGTGATTGAAACTTGCGAAAAATGATATCACAGAAGTGAAATCTAAGAGTCTTTATCTGCTTTTATTAAAAGAAAAGGAAACAAATAGAGATTAGAGAGTCCTTTAAACTCAATCAAAGTACAATATAGAAGTAAAAAAGCAAAAGTAAATGAAGATAAATCTCAATATATAAAATTATTAGTTATAATCTAGATATAGTGATGATCCAAAAACAAGATATATTACCCAAACTTAGAGAGAATTTGATTGAATAGAATCAAAACAATCAGTCACTACTATATAGAGATCTACCTTTTTATACTGATAGATCATTGCAACAAGCAAGAAATAATACAGAAGGCCCAGATTATATGGGTATAGAAATTTTACAAGTAGTTTATAACAAACAAACAATAATTGAAGAAGGCTTCGCCAAGACAGAGAATTGGCCCTCATCAACTAAATAGCAATTCTCATAATATTAAGCAAAAAGAAAGTCAAGATATATACAGATAGTGCAGTAGCAATTGCAAGTATAGAAAAAGAAAAGAATAATCTTTTAAGTAAGCAATGTCTAAGACAAAAGAATTATAATTTAATACATAGTATTATAGAGTTAGTTAAGATAAAGAAATTCAATTAGATTTAGTCAAAATTAAAGGTTATAGCAATATTAAATATAATGATAAAGCAGATAGTTTAGCAAAGCAAGGTGCTATACTATGATAACAAATATAGATAGAATTATCTTTAACCTTCCATTAAGATCAAATGTTTCACTATACTGAAACAGAACACTTATTGAGCATCCAGTAAGACAAGTAATTATAACACTTCTAGACTTTAAGACAGACGCAGACTAGAAAGAATTAAGAAAAGGATCTCGAAACTAATGAATAGATCTATTGTTAGAAGTGAATCAAAAGAAATAGCAAAGTCAAATATACAATATTAAAGAATAACAAACGCTTTAAAGCTCTAATTAAATATGCTAATAAAAAATTATCTGTATTTTAGATACTAGCACAAAGGTGCCCAGACCTATATTAAGATTCAAATTGCATAATATGTAATAAAAAGTCAAAGAAGATCAAGATTATCTAGCAAGCTGCAGAGAACAAGAGAATAGCTAGAAAATTGTAAAAAAACTAGCAGCAAATATAGCATAGACAGCTCTTTTAGAAGAAAACCAAAAGAGAACAAATAAAAATTTACTCAAAGAAACTCTCTGAAAAGAGTTAAAAGAAGAATCTTTAGAAACTAGAATAAAAGCAATCAAAAGTCTGATTCAAGAAGACAAGGCAGAGAAAATATAAGAAACTCTACAATTAAGAAAAGATGCTCTTAAATGATTTAAAACCATATATATTTTAAATATTAATTCATAACAATTTATTATATAAGGTTATTAAGTTAGTTTATATTTATAAATATACTCAGTATTTTGAA